TATTTTCCATAATTGCCCTTCAGGGATCTGCTTCTTTGCATCATGTTAAGTGCTTGTAATTAGCCAATGAAAGATTTGGAGCTAAGCTAGTTTTTTAAAAAACTGAGAAACTAAGGCCAATATGATGGAATGTATACAATAATTCCATTCTCATAATGCTAAATACTTTCAGCCAAAGACACTATTTCTAGATATGTCTTTTATTAAAATCAGATGGAATATGTTCACTTTGTTGTGGCATTCAGTATTCTTAGACAACTTTACAAATAAGCCAGGAAAGAAGGAAGGAAGGAAGGAAGGAAGGAAGGAAGGAAGGAAGGAAGGAAGGAAGGAAGGAAGGAAGGAAGGGAGGAAAGAAGGAAGGAAGGAAGGAAGGCAGGCAGGGAAGAGAGGGAGGGAGGAAGGGAAGAGAAGAAGGGAAGAGAGGAAGGGAAGGAAAGAAGGAAAAAAGAAGGAAAGGAAAGGAAAGAAAAAGACATCCAAAAAGTACTTCTGACGAATCACAAGGCATGGGCTTAGCAATACATTCATTGCCAGGGGAATCCTTGAGAACGCCAACTTTCATTGTAGTGATTTAGAAGAAAGAGCTTTAAAAACAGACCTTCTTCCCCCTTTATATTTCCCTGTCAAGATGCATAAAAGAATTCAAACTAATCAAAAAGCCCAAGTGAACTGGCTGGTTAACTAAGACAACCCCAACCTTGAGTTCAGAGTTTTCTAATGCATTCCACCTGTCTCTCCAAGGAACAAAGTTTACAGGATATAGTGACGGCAAAGCAGCCTTGCTTCTAAAGAGACAGATGCTCATATAGTAGCCAAAATGGTGTACCCTGGAATTTTAGCTCGACACTGAAAACGCTGTCATTCTTAATAAATTACCCCATGCCCAAGAAACTGGATTTCTTTCTTTCTTCCTTTTTTCAAAAGCTGTTAAATTATCATGAGAGAAGTAGCCTGCAGTACTATGAAGACCTAAAGCAGCCAGTCCTTGAGGCTCCTTGTAATCTTGTTCCGCCTGACCCATCCAGATTTCTCCTGCGGTAGATTATCTTCACCTCAGCAGGACAAACATTTTATTGTCTGGTCTGCCCTCCCACCCCCACGCCCGCAGCTTCCTCCTCAATGCACACAAGCTGTGTGATCATCCCTGCCTCCACCTACAGGGCTGTCCTGCCTGGAACTGTTTCCTCTCTCACCACCTCTCAATCCTTCAAAGTCCAATTCATGTTCCAATCATCATGAAGTTCTTCCCCAATGGCACCAGCCAACACCCGTCATTTCCTTTCCTGGCTCTCACTCCCACTTCCTGTTAAACTAAGGACAGAAATTGCACTGTGCGTGGACTTAGATCTTGAAGATTCTGAGGTTATTTGTGAGCTCAAGGACATCATGACCTTTTAGCAATAACTGTGAAATGGCATGGGAGGTGGGAATGGAGAAGTGTGTGTTTAGTATTTGCCAACCTTGGCCTAAACCACCCGCCTTGGCAGTGGTTCGTGTTGGAACTTAATTTTACATTGTCTCATATCATCCAGTGGTATGAAGTTCCATGTTCTCATGGTTGTTCAGTTGAAGTTGAAGTTATAGAGAGAAACAACCATAAAAGATGTCAGAGAGATTTACAACCAATCGTTCTGGAGGGGGATCTCAAGTTGTCCTTCCCTTCCTGGGGTTGGTTTGATAGTCGTCGAAAACATTATTTCAAATATGCACCAGGGTTTCCTGGTGTGTTGTCTTATAAATTGATGTATAAATGTATCCATATGGATACATGTTCTCTCTCTATATATACTCAATATATAAACCAGATCACCAATTCATTTGCAATGGGAGACATTGCTTCCCAGAAATTACAGTCCCCAGGGCCACTCCTTCAAGTCAGTTCCTTCTGAACAGAAGGGTAGGTAAGAAGCTTCATAATGTCCAGGAAGTTGCCCAGGGAGCATGAAATCAGAGCCTTCCTCCCCTTTCTCTCCACAGGTTAAAACTGCTCTGGCCCTGCCACTCGCTGGCTGTCCTGTCCTTAGGCAAACTCTTGGCCTCCTTATGCCTTGGTTTTCCCAGCTGTAAATGCAAATAGTATTGCATTTTGCTGTGTATAATGTGCACTTTTTGCCCAGTTTTTGAGGGAAAAATAAGGATGTGCGTTATACCTGGGTAGTACCTGAAATACCTTATATCTGTTCTTTTGTTCTGTAACTATTTGTCCCATAAAACTTCCTGTACCACAGTATGTTCAAAAATAAATGCTAAAATTCCTTTATAATACAAAAAACAAGTATCCAAATATAAATAAGTAAAAATTGAATTAAAAAATCAAAATGAAAGATTTTTTCCCCTGAAAATTTGGGCCAAAAACGTGGGTGCACATGATACACAGCAAAAATATGGGTAATAGTGCCTGACCTATAGGCTTGTAAAGAGTGCTTAGAACAGTAAGTGGCGTCTGCTAGCATTTATTCATGTTAGTGCTTTATGATTTTTATTTATATCTTTTCACCAATACTTGAGAAATTTCATTTCCATAATAATGAGACAGCCCTAATAGAATAATGTAGCCCCTATTAATCTTTGAAACCTTTAAAGATTACGCTGAAGCCAAGAGTACCAAGACCCACCTCACTTGGGACAGCTGGTTGTGTGAAATGCTTTTGGTTTTTTCCCCTCTTCCTTTATACGCAGTACCTGGAAGTGAATGCCACTCCTGGTTCAACTCTTGTTCTGAACTTCTATTCATCAGACCATTTGTGCAGATGTCTGGGTATATGTAGATACAGCAAGTGAAGCCCCATAGCTCCGAGGCCTTTAGATAGAGCAGTATATTGATACACTGTCACTTCTCACAGTCTTCCTCTGCAACCCTCCCCCTTACAAAAACAAAAAGAAAACCTGTCTGTGCTTGTCCTCTCTCAGGCTGGACCAGGCGCCCTTCGGAAAAGGTGGGGCAGGACTGACACACAGGGAAGGCAGGACACCGCGAAGATTCCCGGAGGGTAATCTTTGATTCATCGGGTTGGCAGGCTCGCCCAGCTCCTCCTCCCGTCCCACGGGAAACCTTGTCCCGTCCCATGAAGAAGCAGCCTTTGTTTTGCTGATGTTTCTTAATTGAGTATCAAACTGGAGGGCTGGTACTTTTTCCTGAAAGACCTGAGTATGAAAGGTTTCGCTGCCTTCACCTTTGTTGTTGTTGTTTTAAAAATAAAGGAGTAGCCCCACCTTACCTTAGTTTCTATTGGATAAAACAGGAATGGGGGATTTTTCTTTTTTAAGCTTCCGCCTGTCTCCAAAGTGCACCCGATTTCCTAGTGGGGAAGGCAGTTGCAGCAGCCTGCAGCGGCTAGGTGGCTCAGGAGGGCAGCCGGCTCTCCTGCGAGCCAAGTTCCAGAGCCTGCCCCGCACCCCGCGCCCTTGACTAGAATTTCTCTTCCTTGCCTCCCTGGTTGTTTTACAAGGTATCAAATGACTGGCCGCACCTAGTCGATGTCTAGGCCACAAGAACGAATCAAGACCTTGCTTCCTTCCCTCCCTTCCCCACCCCTCACCTCACCCCTTCACCCCTTCCCATTCACCGTTCTTCCCCCACCCTTCCCCCAAGCTACACCACCGACCAACCAACCAATTGATCTGAAACCCTGTAAAGTCATAGTACAGTATCAGAACCCATGGGACCAAATCATTCAATATCAGTAGGAGGGAAGAAAGGGAAGGAGGGAGGCAGAATAGGGGAAAAGAAGGAATTTCAAAATTGTTTTTCTTTAAGGGGGGAAAAGTGTCTCTGAGCAAGTAGGCCCTCCTCCAGGGAAGGAGAACCCACAGTTCCCCCAGGTAACACATTCCAGAGCCTGACTCAATTGTCCAGAGATGCTGGATGGGGGCCGCAGGAAAAAAAAACACAGCGTTTAAATCCAATGATGGGAGTTGTTTACAACCCTCTGAAAGATGCCAAAGGGTTTAACAGTCAAGGGTAATCACGCACAGCTGTGGGGCTGGCTGGCCGGAGCCTTCCTCAGTCCCTTCCTGCTGGAAAAGCTGAAGCAACACAGTGACTTGTCCAGGGTCACACTCCATGCTTGGGACAGAAATAGTTCTGACTCCTTCCTGGCTCTAACCAGCAAGACAGCCACCTTATTACTGTGCTATCATTCGAATCTGAATCATTTAAATGGCTTCTAATTGCAGGCCTATAGCGAACTGTAAGCTCCGTGTGACTTTAAGTGCCAGGTGGGCTGAGGTAGGAGTGACTGGAGTTTTACAGACTCCTGAATATGGACTTAAAATGCTGGAAGGGGTGGGGGAGGGAAAAGGTGTTTGCAAACTGTCCTTGAAACTGCTGATAAGTACTATGTTTAGTGTTTTTTTAAAATGAATTTGAAATGTCACCTCTAATTTGTTATGATGTCGGAACAGAGAAACACTTGGGGTTCCAATGAATGCCATTCACAAAGGCATTTGGAGTTAAATCTCAGCTGTTTCCCAAGTAGTTCATCTTGACATTCTTCCATTTTATGCCCACTACATTACGGCCTCATTTTGTGTTTAAACTTCCTTTTTAACTCTTTCACAGGCAGCTCATTGGGAGGGGGTGGGAGACGGGGCCCAGGGAAGAAGCCAGGTGGACAAATTCAGATCTGTCCTCTGAGGGCTGGCCGCCCGCTGCGCTCAGGAAGGAAAGAGGAAAGTACGCTCCATCCAGCAAATTGCTCTAACTGATTCATCCGTCCTCACAGAGACGCCACCTACCTGCTTGCAGGTATTCAGGTAAATGACAGGTGGGCGGGACCTACCGACTGTTTCAATAGCTAAGGTCCCAGCAATGTTTTATCTGTCCAGGCTCCCGTGACGTCACACATTTCCTGTTCTCCACCGACCAATGCCCTCCTCCTTCCTCTAGGCACCTGTATGCCGAGCCTGAGGCCGGTCACAGCTCCGGCGGCCCAGGGAGCTGCTGGATTCACCTACGAAGCATGAGAGCTGCGAGGCTGCTGCTGCTTTGAGAGCCCCAGGCAGACACGTAAAAAAGGTGAGCTCAAACCCTCCATGTTTCTCTCTTGGCATTTATACCATTGGGCCCTGAGGGATCTGAATGAGGAATTGGAATGAAAAATACAAGCCTTGCATGTTTGTCCCAGGGGGAGAAGCCCTTTTGAGGGAAAGAGCAGAGGGCTGCCTTTGACGTTGGGTTGCACAGGAAAGATCACCCAGGCCAGATATCGAATCCTTTTTGCTTCTTTTAATCATTAGTCCAGCCTCTGCTTGTCTGGGAAGATGATCTGATTTTTGTTGTTGTTCTTGTTGTTGTTGTTTTTAAACCCTGGAGTGGAGTGGAGAGGGGACTCCTGAAAGTTAACTCAAAGGTACACATCACTTCAGCCCTCTAATGGGGACCAGGAAGCCAGCACCAACTGAATTCAGAATTGCCTTATTTGCCTTATTTTGCCTTTCTGCATTCATCACACCAGAGGCAATGCCGGGGGAAACCTGTGAAACGTTCTTAATTGTTTTTCCCTCCTGGAAGTTTGTTTCTCAAAGGGGTCAATTCTGCTGTCCTGCTCAGACGCCCTCTACTCCAGTTTCCCTCCCTCTACTTCTCTTTTAAAAAGTCTACTGTTTTCTTTGTTCTTTGCTAAATACTCTTTTTAAAACCCCTTTGCTGTCTGGTTAGAATTGTTTACATTCGGATCTGGACTGGCTGCCTGTTGACCTTCAGTTAAAGTAAAGTCTACTTCCTCTCTGCTTACAAGAATGTAACTTCAGGTCTGACGTTTAATGTTTTGGCACTTGTCCACTTTGCTTTTAGTAGCAAATATACTGAGGAGATTGTTCTGCTAGGACCCAACTGTTTTACAAGTAATTTTACCTCTAGGATCCATTTTGGTTTTGCTAGTCCTGATCACACAGCTGTGGCTGCTTCTGGTCTTGACAGCCCAATAGCCACTCGCTCCACCGAACCCTGCTGGCAGAGAAGGAAAGAAACCGCCTCCAGACCCTCCTGGGATGAGCCGGAAAACTTGGGAGAGAAGCCTCCCTTCTAGGGAGGCATTTCATTCATCGGTTATTTTTCTGAGATTTCAGTTAGCAAATATGTTTGCAAAAGAATAACCTGTTAGGAATTATGCTCATAATTCATCCAGAAACTCAGTTTCTGAGTTTCACCCAGAAACTCAAAGTTTTTGTCAATTCTTTAAGGGTATAAATTGAAACAAGCTGAGAACATTTTTGTCTCGGTTGCACCACTGAGAATCTGCCCGGTGCTTGTTGCCAATTTCCCTCTTACTCCTTGGAGGCTTGCATTGTTCTTCAGCTGACCTTTGTGTCTGCTCTTTCCCCGGAGCAGGTGTGTTTGGGTGGTGGCTACTGCTTGTCCCTCACTAGTGTTGTCACTTGATTCCGAGTTTTGACTGTAGAGGAGACCAAAAAGAAAAAAATCTCTTGGATCCTGAATCTGCTGGATAAAAACACGTCTTTAAAGTCACAAAGCTCTCCCATAAGATTACCATGGTTCATGGTTCTTTGCACAGTAGTTAATTCATGATTGAACAAATCATGTCATCGCTCAATGTCAGCTTTTCTGGATGTTAAAGGAACAAAGTTGTGGCTACCAGGCCTCCAGATATAAGAAAGGAAAAAAATTACAGAGGCTAGAATTCAGGGTCAGGTGGTCTAGAATGCAGTTGGTCTCTCGGGTAATTTGCACATTGAGCCCAAAGGGGAGAAAAGAGCCACAGTGGGTCCCTTCCTGTTCTAACGCCATCCCTTGGTTCAAGTGTGCAATCTCTTCCATTTACGCCCTTCAGCAAGTTACTTAACTTCTCTGACCCTCAGCTTCTTCATCAGTAAACCGAGAGATGTAATGAAGTTGTGAGAAGGAAATGAGGAAACATACAGAGCGTTGAGCGACAGTGTCTGGTGCTAGGCAGCAGTTAGGCGAAGGCTGGGTCCGTCCATCCTTCTTGAAGGCATCTTCCTGGGTTGTTTGAGGGGGCGAGTCTGACCCTATGGAGATAAAAGATCTTACGGGTTCACAATTGTTAGGAACCCTGATCGTTCTTGTTACAGTTATTAATTGTAAGTAATTAACTTCAATGTTAACAGATCAGAGAAAGAAAACGGGCAGGAAGCAGGAGAATGCTTAAACTGTGTCATTAAACAGGTAGGCAGACTGGTCTCTGCTAGTGTCCCCGGCCGCTGCTGTTTCTCCTACCTTCCCCACCCCCAGGCTCTCATCCCACCACAGACCTGCAGACTCTGGTTCCCCACAGGCCCTCAGGGGGATGAATCCTGTTGTCACTTGCCATACACTGGCTTGCTGGCTTCCCTTTCAGCTTTCAACTGCGCTATCTCCAGGGCAGACTTGGGTGGGTGCTCCATCTCCTCCAGTCTCGCAGATGAACACCCTTTGCAGCAGCCTGGGCGAGCTGCCTGCCTAGCCACTGGGAGAAAGGAGGAAGCGGCTGGTTTGGAGACTGTACTATACTGTGGAAAGGGGATGTGTGGATCCTTTGGCTATGACTGTGCCCCTAATGGAATACCCTCTGCCCTTCAATGACCTTGAGTCATTGCATAAGAACAGGCATGTTCCCAGACCCCCGGGGCCTTCTCCAGGTCTCACACTGTCCTGCAAAGAGAAGGCAAGCTTTCATCATTCAAGAGCAAGGCAACAGCCTAGGTGATGGAGGACAGAGGCTTATAACCTTGAAACTATTACTGGCTTGCTTAGTAGTAGGGGCCCTGGGGAAGAACCTCAACCTCCCTACCCATCCGTTTCCTTGCCTACCTTTTCCCAAAAGAGGGCTGCTAGCATGGTATACTTCACAAACCACCTCCATCCTGTAACAAAAGCGAAATGGGCCGCACACCTGGGGGAGGAGGCCCGACTGAGGGGAGGGCAGTGCCTCACTAGGACATGTTAATCTTATTCATTCAATTCTCGGCGGAATTGGTACTACTGCCTTAGGGTAGTGGTCTGGTCCCTGGCATCAGTCGGCCAGGGTTCAAAACCCAGCTCCACCATGTACTAGCTGTGTGACCTGGGACACAGCCCCTCTTTACCTCAGCTACAAAAAATAGAGTTGTGAAGATGAAATGAGTTGAAATAAGTGCTGGGAATAGTCCGTGGCAGAGTGATAGCTATTACTAGTATTATTTTCTTGCAGGAAAGCATAGTGGGTAGAATCAGACCAACCTGGGTTCGAGGCTAGTTTCACCATGTTAAATTACTAAGCTAAATAAATTCCTTAGCATCGCTTTGTCTCAGTTTCATCATCTGGAAAATGGAATGCTTACCAAGCCTAGTGGTGTTATGAGGAATAATTGAAATGACTTTATGTAAATGCCAAATATATTGGAGGTGCTCAGTACATCCTAACTATTGTTATAGAAAACATTTGTTATATTGGTTACGGTAATATAATAATGACAGGAACAGAAGTAAGTTAAGGGCCAAAGACTGAGCAAAACAGATTTCCCTGAAAGGCCCCCAAAGGCCTAGGAGGAAAACCTGTTAATAAAGATTATCTTGTTTATCTTGAAGTTCCAGGGGAGGGTAGCTGCCATTTAAGAGGCCTGGGTGATGCAGAACTGTGGATAGTAGGACTCTGCGATGCACATAAACAGTGGATTCTTCTGGAGCAGTGATTCCTGGCTTCTAGTGTCTCCTTTTTAGGTTTGGATTCCTCACTTACAGTGAAGAAAATCAGGTATGCTAGGATCCTGGGGACTTAAAAGGCCATCCTGAAAGACGCTCCTGAGAGAGGCCTATGAGGGAGGCTCTGACATGTGTCCTCAGTATTCAAGGGCCTCCTGAGGGTGGACAACTATTCCTGATGTTTACGTGCTGGCATTACATGGACTCACTTTTATGTGGGTGGCAAATTTATTGTCCTCTGACAGCATGTCCAAAGTATCGAAGGCTTTTCAAAACTGTCTGGAAGAAGACTACATCACTCTTCCAGTGTTAATGGGATTTAACCATCTACTGTCCCCGGAGAATATGAGTGAACATGAAAACCATACAAGTTTCTAAGAGCAAACACTTCACTGAACTGAAATCAGAAAGAGAAAATGCTAGTTGCTTCCTGTACACCTTTTAGATTCACCATTTTCTCTTATCTCATTTTGTTCTAAGTGACTCGAGGACACCGCTGTGATTTATTGTTTAGTTACGCAGAGACATATTTCAGATCAATATAAGGAAGTCCTTTCTAAGAATTAGAGTTGTCCCCAAATCTAGTAGGTCACCTTTGGGGCACTGAGTTCCCTGTCACTGAAAGGGAATGGTTTTTGGTATATTTAACGCCTGGTATGTGTTTGCTGAAGGAAGGAAGGAGAGGAGGAAGGAACGCAGGGAGAGAGGGAGAGAGGCCAAAGAGGATTTGTGTTTCTTTAGTAGTGCATACACTCATTTGTAAATAAAGATTATATCACTGACCTCGTAAGACCATTTTAAAGATTAAATGAGAAAATACATGTATGTGTTCCTAGTGAGCTGCTTATTAAATAGTACTAATTATTGTTTTATTTTATATTCTAAAAAGAAGGGGAGAGAATGGATTCCTGCTTCAAGCAGAGGGTAGACAAGATGACCTCCAAATTTGAAATGTACAGTTTTTGTACTGTCTTTATTCCAATTCTCTTCGCCCGTGCCCTTCTTCCTCCACTTTTTCTAGAAGACCTCCCCCTGCTCTAGCAGCCACATGTCTTGACATGGTGGACTGAGTACACTTCAAAGAGTGGCAGTAATTCTATCCCAATTAATCAGGGCCTTTTTTTTTTTTTTCACATCACTAATTTGTTACTTGGAATGTGTGGACTTAAATGCCACCATTATTTTCCAGTGACTCTTATTTGCTTCTTGTGTTTGAAGCACTTGTCACAAGAACGCAAAAGAGTTCACCAACAGCACAGTGGAAGCTCTCCAAGAATTTTCTTTAATGGCAACAGCACACACATGTCATTGCTATCTGTTGAGATGATTTGCATAACTTGCTGATGACTGCTTGGTCGGTCACGTGGCCTCTTTGA